AACCAACTTCCTTCTGAGAGCTCATCTAGGCAGGAATAACCGTGTGTGTTAAATCATTCAGTGGATGAGGGATTGTCTGTATAGAGCCCTGTAATTTAAGACTCTATAGCAGCACATTTTTCTGAATTTTAATACTGAAGGTTTTTACCTTCTTTCCCTATCTAGACTATTCTTTGCAGGCCATTCTGTTTATCTTTCTGTGGACAGCAAATTTTCCTCTTCTTCTTCCACTTTTTGGCTATATCCAGCTTCCTTGTGTTGTTAAGAGGAACGGGGCACAAAACATACATCCTGCTGCATGAGTAATTGGGCACTTCTCCTTTCCATCCCAGAACTCTGCTTTCAAAGCATTCGCCAGGCTTTCACCTCTACCTTTTCTCAAGTCTTATTTATAAGTGACAGTGCCTTCTTTCCTCGGATAGATTTCTCTATCAACCCCTTGATTCATCTGTTCACCGTGCTAAAGTATATGGCGGGGCTGCATTCTGAGAAACACGTCATTAGATTAGTTCATCATTGTGAGAACATCACAGAATGTAGTTGCGCAGCTACAGCCTCACTAGGTGATATAACCTTGTGGGTATACCTAGTCTGTTTCTTACCAAATTGCCTTTATGGGGCACAGGATCATGATTTATTGTTTACCTTTAACAGATTCCATTATTAATTTGTGTACTTATTCTTGAAGCAAAAAAGTTTTCTCAAATACTACTGACAGCTGTCTTGATGGATTTTTAAAAGGCTACCTCTCTATGTACATTCTGGAGGTTTTTAATGCTTCATGTAAGTGTACTACATCTTAAGAGTTTGGGAATTCCCTTTGCTTATATTTCAGGCAACATCCCCTTTTCAAATAGAATGATCAAGAGCCTTTTATGTATGCCATAATTTAAAGGTACTTGGTAGAAGAAGCAACTCATTTGATTATGTTTTTTGGAGAAGCTTTTGGTCATGTATGTTTTATTGGGCATTTTTTGTAAATCCAATTTTCTTATTCAAAGCAAAACTTTCAATGTGCAATTCTTCCATATATTATTTACAAATCATTTCATCTCGCTGAGGTGAAAAGTAAGGAAAGATAGATTATAATGGCTAATTTTGACAGAAAAATATATACGGAGGTATACAGTGGTTAAAATAGCAGTTATTCTTTCCAAGTTACTGTTAAACTGTGCTTTAGCCCCGTGCATGGTACCCTTCTGCTGAGGTAGTGGGATCTTGTTCTGAGCATCAAATAGGTAGAAATTCAGAAAGAATGGATAGTCACGTCTAAAAATATGCTCAGACCTACAAAATATTTCAAGTTCAAACACAGCTTTGTTTGTGCTGGTGGGTACTGAAGGACTGTTACCTCTGCCATCTTTGGTCCTCTCCTGTCTGGGTGTGTGTTGGGGTATGTGAATATTGGGGTCCTTGTTTCTAAACTGTTAGAAAAATCAGCAGCTAATGCTGATACTCATTTAGCTGTCAGTCCTTGGGAAAGGACAAAAAAAAACCTATTTCCAAAGAGTGGACCTGGTCTTCTCTGGTGCAAATGAAATATACTCTTTAGGAGGTAGAGATGGTGCTTGTTGGAACTTGAAGCCACATTCTCTTTTCCTGATACATAAATACATTCTGATATTCTCCATTGTTCTGTGGGAAAATCTTCTGTTTTATATCTATTTAGTGACAGAAAATGGTTTATTTATTGTGTGACAAGCCATGCATATTTTATTTATAATAATATAATTCTAAGTCTGAATGCATACATATGTGTACTTTTAACTTGTAATAAATTTTATATATTTGGGGAAAATACCAAGAAAAAATATGGTGTGACAACTTCTAGGTATGCTTATCTCAAGTTGGTGCGCATCTCTTTGTGATTTTCCATTATGAGATGGTGTTTTTGTGTTATAGTAATTGTATCCTTTCCAAAGTTTCTGAGAGTTCTTGACATGTACAAAAGGCAAGAAGCAACCAACGAATGCTGTGGTGTGTTCTGATAAGAGACGTCCAGCTTGCCTGGCAAAAGTCTGTCTGGCTCCCCTCTTTGTGAGCAAAGGACAGCAGTCTAGAATTCCTGCTGAGAATCCTGCTGCTAAGCTCTGGGTAGAAGACCAAGAAAGCTGCTGGGGTGCTTGTGAGTCCACACCAGGGCAGCATTCCTCAGGGGTGTGGAAGCCTGCCATGTTCCTGAGTGTGGATTCCTTCCACATCCGGGTATGCTTACTGACAAATTAAAAAGAAAGAGAAAAGAACTAAAGTCATTTCAAGGAGCACAACAGTGCTCAGCTATGCCCCTCCATGTGGGGAGCACATAAGAGGGAAGATATGTGAGCCAGGTGGAAGCATAGGTTGTAGAAGTTCACCTGCAGCCACACATACGTACAGGTAAGTGTATTTCATTCCCCAGGGGCGTAACTCTGTGCAGGTTTCTGCAGAGTGCTGTTGAGTGTCCTCTCTTTCAAGATGAATGGGACCTGGGCAGGCAGGAGAGAGATGTCAGAGCCCACAGCTGCCATAGTGTCAGAGTGGAGAACCTAAGGTTGCCTTTCCCTCCTAGCCCAAAATAAGTTGTTCCCCTGCCTATCAAAAACTGGCAATTCTCTGAGTAGCTATATAATATTGCATCTAGGTATGGTAGCTTGAATGACAGTTTTGAAATCCTTCATTGCTTTACATTTAAGATTTTCCTTCAAGATCTATTATTTATTGTCACTGATTACAGAAGAGAGAAATATACATTTTTCTTATGAATTATTTAAAATACAATATTTAGACCAGCTGGGATAGAAACACATGCCACACTGGGTTGTTTTTCAACACAGAGGTTGAAAAACCTCTTCCATTCAGTTCATTTGTTGTGCATCTATTATATACCATAAGCCACAAAGACACTGCCAGGACATAGAAAAGAAAAACATTGACCTGCACCTCAGAAGAGTGTTTAGTGTGATAAAAGTCATAGGCATTGTCTGTCGCCAGAGTAACACTGTGTCGTGTATCCCCCTCAGATTCAGTGGTTTAAGAGTTACTCTTGCTCATGCGTTTTTGGTTTGTAGGTTGTGGTTACCCCAAGCTGGCTGAGCCTCTGTCTAAGCGCACATTGGGTCAGGCCTGTCTGCCCCATGGATCTTCCCTGGTCCTGTTAGCAGAGCTGGCCGGGAATCATCTTCTGATGGCCATGGTAGAAGATTTAGAGGTCAAGCCCAAGTGCACCAATGGCTTTTCTCTATCATTCACTGGTCAGCACAAATGACATCTCCAGCCTGAACTGAAAAGTCGGGTGATGACAAAGGAGATGAGGATATGGGGGAAGGGTGCAAACTTGAGAAGATTAATGCAATGAACCTATTAGGCAAAGATAAATTCACAAATGCTTGTGTAACAAAGGATGGGAATTTTCCAGGTGAGTGACCCATGTCTCACAGACCCCAGGAAAATGTCCTTAGAGCAGGTGGCATGTATAATCAGACACAAAAGGTATTTGTATTTCAAGAGACAAACATGGGGGGGGCCATAATTCACAGAAGCTTCATGAGCAAAATGAAGTATTCAGTTAGAAAGAAATAAATAAAAAGATACAAACATGAAGTGTTCAGTTATAAAGAAATAAATGAATAGAACATCAAAGAGATACACAAAATAGGTGTACCGTGTCAAAAATTCTTCCGTGCTACTGCTGGAAGCCCTCTGGAAAGACATAGTATGAATATTAATTTCCAAGGTATAAAATGTGGGAAAACACACAAGGATATATATTTTTTTGCATAAATCAAAGCTATAATGAGAGCTGGAAATGACTTAGAAATCATCTAGCCTAGTCACCTATTTAATAGGTGAAGAGAATTGTGTTTGGAGATAAGTTCTCTTCCTTTTTTTCTTCTTTCTTCTCTCTCGCACATACTGGTATGTATATATGTCTCTGTGTGTGTATATATACTGGTATGTATATATGTCTGTGTGTGTGTGTATATATATATATACATGTGTGTAATATAGATTTTGTAAATGTAGCCATATGAAATAATATATATATTTATATGTTGAGACTAAATGTATTCCTCAATAAACCTATGCATATATATGATACACAATATATATGCACAGAAATACAGAAAGACTATATTCTTTCTTATATATATATTGAGAGAGAAAAGTAGAAAAATGAGCTGCTGCTTCAAGTGGTATTGTGAAGAATTCTTAATCCCCCCAAAACTTAAAAAACGCTTGTATCCTCATCAAGTGGTCTTTCTGGTTTCAAGGAACAGAGTATGACTCACATTATTCAAATGGAAAGGAACATTGTCCATAAGAAGGAAGGCCAATATTTTGCCAGTTATTTGAGGGCAACTTTTGCCCTCTGAAATCCTGGCCTCGGGGAGCTGGTGAATGGCTCCCCACTTCATTCGGGAACAGCTGTCAAAAGGAGGGGCCTGAACGCCAGGGTAAGTGAGGGCCCAGACAGTGTTCCCCCTCCCCTCTGAAACACATTCCTTTCATGTAAAAGCCACATAATTAACCATCTACCTAGCCGAAATAGCACTATGAAAGCAAGTTAGTTTATGTACCTAATATCTGAGGTTTCTCCCCAGAAGAGAACCAATGAATCTTGCAGCGGTGGGAGATCAGCAGGCTCTGGCCCTAGGGCAGCTGTCCCGTGGTCTACACAGGGGCCTGTCATCTGGTCTGGTTTTATACAAGTTTTATTGTAACAGCCTCGCCTGTGCATTTCTGGCGCTTTTAGCACGACTTCGGTAGGGCTGAGTCACGGCCATGGAGACAGAGCCCGCGGGGCCTGCAGATCTCCAAAGGCGCACTGCATCCTGCCCTGCAGAGGTGCAGATCCCGGAGCAGTGCTCCAGGGGGGTGCGCCTTGTGTGTCACTGCCTCTGGAGATGGACCGGAGTCCCACAGAGGAGTGGTGTGTGAGTGTCACTCCGTACAAGTGTCGTCTTCTTTCGCAGGCCTCCGCGAAGGCCCTCACCCCTAACCCTTTGCTCTGTCCTTTGCAGACTCCGACCTGAGCATGCGCACACTGAGCACGCCCAGCCCGGCTTTGATATGTCCGCCCGCCCTGCCAGGATTCCAGAATGGCAGGGGCTCGTCCACCTCCTCGTCCTCCGTCACCGGGGAGACTGTGGCCATGGTCCACTCCCCACCCCCGACCCGCCTCACACACCCGCTCATCCGGCTCGCCTCCAGACCCCAGAAGGAGCAGGCCAGCGTCGACCGCCTCCCCGACCACTCCATGGTGCACATCTTCTCCTTCCTGCCCACCAACCAGCTGTGCCGCTGCGCGCGCGTGTGCCGCCGCTGGTACAACCTGGCGTGGGACCCGCGCCTCTGGAGGACTATCCGCCTGACGGGCGAGACCGTGCACGTGGACCGCGCCCTCAAGGTGCTGACCCGCAGGCTCTGCCAGGACACCCCCAACGTCTGCCTCATGCTGGAAACCGTCGTGGTCAGCGGCTGCCGGCGGCTCACAGACCGAGGCCTTTACACCATCGCCCAGTGCTGCCCAGAACTGAGGCGCCTGGAAGTCTCAGGCTGCTACAACATCTCCAACGAGGCCGTCTTTGACGTGGTGTCCCTCTGCCCCAACCTGGAGCACCTAGATGTGTCAGGTAAACGGAAACCGGCCTCCTGGCGTGGGCTTGCCCCACGCACTGTGCCAGTGGGGTTGAGATAGCGCCACCATCCCCTGAGGGTCCCCTTCTCCGGGACTCCTGGGTGGCAGGGAGGCCTGCCTGCGCAGAGCGACTGTCTTCAGGTAATCAGGGCCCCGGAGGCCAGCGCTGTCCCTTTCACCAAGTAATATCAGCTTCTTAGAGGAGATTACCTGGCCGCTGGCACCTGGCAGTTCAGATTAGCATGACTTAAGTGTGTCCCTCGTCATCACCATAACTTGCAGTTGTTTCAGGGCCACCACACACACTGGAGACCAGAAATCTGATTTAGATAATCACGTCCAAGCACTCCATCCGAGCCACGGCAATGACCCTGGCTATTTGTTCCCGTGCTCTGTACCTGACCACGTCCCTTTTGGACCACGAATCACCCAGTCCTGTGTGTGCTCAGGACGGCTTGATGTTTCGAGCACCCCGTAGAAATCCTCCAAGGAGAAGTAGCTCCTTATAGTCAGCCCCTCTCTTCCTACCTTCTGGTTAATTCCAGAGCATTTCTTAAACAAAACTCTCAATTCTGTAGTGCAAGGATAAGGAGCATTGAATCAAACCTTCAGTCCTTTTAAAAATGGAAGGAAATCCCAACATGGCTGCTTCACTTGGAAATCTCTCACAGGCAGGAAGAATTAAAGGCCAGAGTCAAACTTTGGCACCAGATAGGGATCGGCTCTGACAGATGGCCTTTCTTTACCACATCCACTGCAAAGCCTAAAGACAAGCATTGGAAAGGCTTAAATGTGTGAGAGGCACCAAAGAGTTAGAGAAGCAAGCAGCATGAGCTGTAACCTTAGGGAATGTTGGGGAAAGGTCAGGAATTAAAAACAGAATTGGGGATTTACAAGCATCTAAGGTAAATGATGCCCTCAGACAAAATCTGAGGTAAATCCAGCTCTTAGCTTTCTCTCTCTTTTGAAAGCCGACATCTGAAAATATTTCAGATGACAGTCCATTATTACTTGCAGATTCTTTCCTGGCTAGAAAGCAGCCTGCTGCTTCTCTCCTTCAGCTGGCTTCAGGACAAAACCATAGTAACTGTGTGTTCACTTAGTCATGAGCAGCCGTTGGCATAAAGAAGCAGGAAGCATCGAGGTTTTCTTACATTTCTTCCCCCAAGGAATTCTGGAAAGAGAAGCATTGTTATGTGGTGGAAACTAGTTACAAAACCCTGTGGCTTTGGACAGCTCACAGCTTTCTCCAGATATGTTTTCTCCATAATTTAAAAAAGAAAAGTAAGGTAGTGTTCTTTAACATTCTAATTGAGCATTTTATAAACACCTCATTTATTTTGTTTCAGAATGATTCATTTTGGAATCCTCATCTTTGTTAAAGGGGCTTCCCGTGCGTTCTTCGTTCAGAGGACAAGCTATTATGCTCTCTCTTTGGGGGCCATTTTGAAATTCACAAATGCTAAAAGTGCTTTTGGTATTTGAGAATGGAAATTCTAAGCTTCTGGCCTCAGTGATTCAAGCTCGACCCTTTGATATGTATTCTGTACATCAGCTCAACTGATCATATTTGTGTAGCTTCTTTGCATATCTCACTGTGAGGAGACATATTAATCTATGGACACAAAGAAAGGGATCTGGCAGTCTCCAAGGTACAAACACAGAATCCCAGGTATGGGAGAGAGTTTTAGATAGAGGAACTTGAGAGACTCAACAGCCCACAAGGTTGGATTTACCGTTGGTTTCTCCTACCAGTCTGCTCCAGTTCTGGGAGAATTTGGAAACAGGTCTGAAGATAGAGAGACAAGCCACTGGGCAGCCATGGGTGACTTCCCCAGGGTCTGTTTTCCTTGGTTTCACAGGTGGCCTCCCATAATGACTACATTCTCATGAGGCGTGGACTTGATCTTGGAATACTCATCAGTAGCCTTGAACGGAAACCTCCTAGCAGACCTGTGGCCACCTTCCCTATCCTTAGCAAGGCTGAAAGTGCCCCTGTTGAAAGTTAACCTTTTCAGAGAAGCCAAGAGTTGCTATCTTGGTTCTGTATTACTACCCTCCAATTCTGCTTGTTTTTCAGTAGTAGAGAAGACTTGATATCCTTGTCCTCAGCACTTAGTGTGGTGCCTGATGCATAGCACATATTTCCTTTATTGAATAAAAGAATGAGAAAGAAAAAGTGAATGGAGAAAGCAAGATAATTCAACAAAGTAGAGAAAAAGCACCCCCCACCACAAGTTATCATTATGGTACAAAGATAAAGCTTGACACCTTATCTTCCATAAATGTATTTAACTCTGAGATAGGCAGACTAATGGTCCTCCAAAGATGTCCATGTCCTCATCCCTGGGCCCATGAGTATTTTGTTTACATGGTAAAAGGAACTTTGTAAGTGGGATTAAGTTAAGGGTCTTGGATGGGTAGGTTATACTGGGTGATCTAGTAGACCTAGTGGAACCATGGAATCTAAAAGAAGGAAGCAGGACAGTTAGAAGGAGAGAGGGGAGAGATGAGGATGAAAATACATGAGCTGGAATGCTGTGTTTTGAGGACAGAGGAAGGGATCACAAGCCAAGGAACACAGGGGGAAGCGAGAAAAAGCAAGGACAGATAGTCACCTTTGCCAACCTCTTCATTTCCACCTGTGAGACTTATTCCAGCCTGTTGACTTCTACAACTGCACCCTAATAAAACTGTACTGCTTAAAGCCACAAAAAGTTACCTTTTCAAGTCACTGAATATGACTACTGCTAGCTGTAACACTTTATCATTATCGCACATAGTCTTTTATTCACATCTTTAAACATCAATGCAATATGTTTAAACCAACGTATTTTCCAAATATGGAATGTTGCAATTATTGCAAATAAAATTGCTTCAAATGGATCCTCTCAAGTGGACCCTCTCCAGTGGGAGTCACCTGTTCTCTCTCTGCCATCTTACACATCCAACCTGCAGACTCCTGTCCAGGTGATTCCATTTTTCCAGGTTCTTGAGTCCATCCTCTATCCTCCACTTGCCTTCACCATCACAACCTCTCCACACAATCAAGGGAGGATATTTTCAAATCGCGAGTCTAATATTTAGTTGCCTACATAAACTCTCCAATTGTTCCGCGTGATTTACAGGAAAAAGTCAAGTTCCTCAGTAGAGTATACAAGGCCCTAAGTGAGATGCCCTTCCCAGACACCACCCTTTCCTCTTCCTGTGTACACTTGATCTTTCCTTCCATGGAACCATCTGTGTGTCCCCAAATGCATCACGCCTGTGCGTACAGTGGTGTGTGGCTCCCTCCTTGATTTGCATGCCAGTGTCTCCTCTGCCCTGGCCCTCCTAAGGACCCTCCAGTTGAGCCTCTTCTGCATACAGCCTGCCCTTCTCACCCTGGGGTGAGAGTTACTGAGCTTGCCAGTCCTGGCCTGTGGAGGATAGGCAGGAGGAGCATGGCTGAGCTCTGTAATTGGGTACTTGGGCATTTCCAGCTCACATCCTCTCAACTCATTATGAGCTTTATATGGGCAGAACTGAGGCATTTTTATCTTTGTCCTTTATGACATTGTGATTAAGTGAACAGAGGAGTGTCAAAGCCCTACGTGCTGCTCCTCTTTACCTCTAAAAGACTAAATGTTCCCATTGGTTAATACTCTAAGCAGCATTTAAGAAGCAGCTAAAATTTCCTCATCAATACAAATGGAGTTGGGAGGATTGAAAGAGTTAATCATGCTAAGGCCTCACATGTAGGTTCTGCTGAGACTCATGCAGCAAGCACTCATAAATCACAGCTGCTGTCAGCATGCCTGTGTATTCCTTCTTATTAACATGCCTGGAAGTCAGCAGTTGGTCTTTGCTGACTTGGCCTTCACACATCCCAGCAAAAGTAGAGAAGTTACCCCAATAAGGAGAGGAAATAGGAGGGAGGAGCAAATTCATGAAAGTTGAATGAAGTCTGGAATTAACTGAAGGATCCCTAGATTTTTTTCAACCCATGTTGCTCCTACCCTGTAGAATAATTTACAAGCTTTTGTGATCCACGCCCAACAGATCATTCCCATTTTAGCTTCCTTTCCATTACCCCAGGTTCTACGTATGAACATTCCCTACTCCTCCATGGACTCTATGCTTTCTTGTTTCTCAAATCTGCTTGCTTTATTTCACTATCAGAGTGCCATACGTTTGTGTCCAAACTGTTCTCTTTGAAAGATTCCCTTAGATATCACCGTTTCTGAGATTTCTGATTGTCCAGTGTCTGAATCCTTACCTCATGCTGACGCATCTGCTATCCATCTCCCCTGTAAGCCATCAATTCCAGGTACATCCAAGTTATTTTTTAATTCTCTGTGATAACTGAAGCCTTCAATGACCTATTGTCTTAGTTACTTTTCTTTTGTTGCTGAGATAAAATGCCAAAACCCATAGGAAAAGGAGGAAGGGTTTATTTAGCTCACAGTTTGTAGAGGTTTCAGTCCATAATCAGCTGGCACCCAAGGCAGGATGGCACATAGCAAAGGGGCAACTGTTCATGGCAGTGGAAGATAGCAAAAGCAACAAGGAAGAAGGAGAGATGAGCCTCTTTCTGTACCTTATATTGTATCTAGGCTATCGAGGTTAGGTTGGTGACAATCTAATCAGTGGACTGGTCTAGCAGTCACCCATCCTTAATCCCAGCATCCTTAATCTTAGCGTTGAATCATGAATCAGTCACATACCCTAGATTCAACTACCTCTGAAAAAACCACATCTAAAACTGCATGACTCTTTGGGGGGGACATCTAGACACAAAGCATAACACCTGTCAAAAAATTGCCCTTGATGGAGATGTAACTCAGTGATAGTTTAGCATCCTAAAGGCCCTGGTTTCTGTCCACAGCATCACCAAAGAGAGAATGAAACTGCCCCTAGTCTGGGTTAACAAGTCACATACTCTTACTAAGTCTTCATGTTTTTTTTAAATGAAGATTAAATTGGATGATTTTTAAGGGTCTCTCCATGTCTGTAATACATGAACTACCCATAAATTTTATCTACTGAGCTGTGAATCAATTTATTTTCTAGTCAGTTCAAAATTAACAAATTGAGAATTAGGGCTAACCCTAATATGAAAATGATACCAGCATACCAAAACAGCTTACTCAAACTGTACCAAAGTAGTATTTCATTAAATTTGGAGTCATTTTTAAAAACAGTACATACTTCCATGAACTAAATATTGTATGCTGAAGTTCAAAAGACTTTACTAAATTTTTTTAAAAAATGAACCTAGAATCAAAAGGGTAGGCATAGATTTATCACAGGATTTGAAAAAATGAAGTACCCTCGCCAGCATCATAGATGGACAAATAAATTCAGTATAAACAGGACTATAGTCGGTTAAAAGGAACTCAAAGCAGAGGGAGCTCTCAGAGGTAAGGGTATTGAGACTGAGGAGCTGTCAGTAAAACATGGAGCCCACTGGAGCAGCACGAACAACCGCTGTCCAGTTGCAGCTCACGTGTCCATTGGTCCACGTGTGTCACGCCTTCCAGAAGTCCTTAACTTGGTAACACTGAACCCTTTCAGCCCCAGAACTGTGTTTTATAAAAGTACCCTGGGCAGCCGGCCAGAAAGTGGGAGGAACATTCCCAAGAGCACTGTTGTATAGCTGCTCAGAGCTGTGGGCACTGCACTGAATGACCAAGGTGCAGAGGAGCTGAGTGAGGCTCCCAGTGACTGCAGAGCTGCCACAGGGCTTTGAGAAACACAGAGAAGATATGAGAAGTCCATAGGTGTAGTCTATGCAGGGAAATGAAATACACACATATATGTTGATTTTTATAATAATATGGACTATAGATGTTTATAATTTATATTTATATACTATATATTACTCTATATTTTATAAGGTAATATTTCCTGAACTGAAATATACAATAAATGTTTCATATATTATATAAGTATATAATTATACTCCATGTGATTATGTATCATATAGTTTTTACATATACTGTGTGTGTGGATGTGTGGATGTGCATCCTTGGTGGTACTAGGGATTGAACCCAGGACCTTTGCACTCATCTATGTCACTGAACCTTTTTTTATTTTTTATTTTCAGATACAGTCTCACTAAGTCACTAAATTGCCCAGGTTGGGCTTGAACTTGCCGTTCTCCTGTTTCAGCCTCAGAGATTGCTAGGACTGCAAGGTTGTGCCACTGCAACCAGCTTCCTTACATTTTTAAGTGACTAGAAATAGTGTTTAGAGAGTCATTCAAAGCGATCTTTCCCAGAAGTGGCATCTTTGTCCGTAAAATGGATTGTTTCAAGAGTCAGGGAGTAAAATATCCATGAAAATATTTTGTAAACTTCATAGATTAATACAGTAAAATGCATCTAAACTAAATATACATGTACCCACTCCCCAGGATGAATGTAATCACAATGTACTGCAAACATGTACTACTAAAAGTAAAAAATTTTAAGAGTTAAGTACACAGTAGACAAGAATTTTGCAGTGTAGATACGCCTCAGCCAGCGCATTGTGTCCATTACCCCACTGCACACCCATTGTCCTCTTCGGGTGTAGGCTTCCCAGCTCTATTCCCTCTCTGTTGTCAAATGCAGGCGTCACAGCTCCTGCCTGGGCACTGAGGAGCAGAAGGGATCAAGTGTGACTCCTGAACGCAGTGAACCCAGGGCTCCTTCTTCCAAACCAAGGTCATGTTCAAACTCTGTCTCGCAGCTCAGTTCTCTGGAGCAGAGAGCTACCAGACCACTGCAAAGCCTTTACTGAGCTCCTGCATGCCTCCAGGGGCAAAGCATGTTCTCCATGTGTATAATGTACACTGCCTTACGTCTTCAAGGCTGTCTTCCAGCAAATGTGATTGTCTCTTTATGAGGACAATAAGAGTGGAAAGGATGATTTGCCCCATGTCAGACAACTGGTAATGATTGGGAATTGATCTTGGTAGATTGTGACCCAAAATCGGCCTGGTCTTTCAAATTGTGAAGTTAGTGAATCTCCTTAAATACAAATGATCAAATGAGCATGGGGAACCGACCCTTGCTTTTTTTCCTGTAGCGCTCAAGACAGGGAGAGGAGTGACCTCCAGGCAGGGCTTAGACAGAGGTAGGCACCTACAGCGGCATCCCTGTGGCCCTCGGCTGTCTCTCTCAGGCTGCTCTGAGCATGTGTTCCGTCTCTTTGTGTAGGGTGCTCCAAGGTGACGTGCATCAGCTTGACCCGCGAGGCCTCCATTAAACTGTCCCCTTTGCACGGCAAACAGATTTCCATTCGCTACCTGGACATGACAGACTGCTTTGTGCTGGAGGACGAAGGCCTGCACACCATCGCGGCGCACTGCACGCAGCTCACGCACCTGTACCTGCGGCGCTGCGTGCGCCTTACCGACGAGGGCCTGCGCTACCTGGTCATCTACTGCACGTCCATCAAGGAGCTGAGCGTCAGCGACTGCCGCTTCGTCAGCGACTTCGGCCTGCGGGAGATCGCCAAGCTGGAGTCGCGCCTGCGGTACCTCAGCATCGCGCACTGCGGCCGGGTCACCGACGTGGGCATCCGCTACATTGCCAAGTATTGCAGCAAGCTGCGCTACCTCAACGCAAGGGGCTGCGAGGGCATCACGGACCACGGCGTGGAGTACCTCGCCAAGAACTGCGCGAAGCTCAAGTCTCTGGACATCGGCAAGTGCCCTTTGGTGTCCGACATGGGCCTGGAGTGCCTGGCCCTGAACTGCTTCAACCTCAAGCGGCTGAGCCTGAAATCTTGCGAGAGCATCACTGGCCAAGGTTTGCAGGTCGTGGCCGCCAACTGCTTTGACCTGCAGATGCTAAACGTGCAAGACTGCGAGGTGTCCGTGGAGGCGCTGAGGTTCGTGAAACGACACTGCAAGCGCTGCGTCATCGAACACACCAACCCCGCCTTCTTCTGAGGGGGCGGCGTGGTTTTCACTTTACAAACACGAACCAGACAGAATGTTCTGTTAAACCAGCGACACCCACTCTCAACAGCTATTTCCTCCAGAAAGGCTCCTAGGAATCTGGCTTTTATTTTTTCCTTCTTGTTCATGGGCAACAGACGTCAAAGCAATGAGACGGGAGGGGACACATTTCTGTTACAGCAAACCGTTGGGTTTGGGTCCGGCCATGTGTAGACAGTTTCTCTTCTCAGCAGGCTGATTTTGGTGTCTTTAAGCCCCTGCTTACTTTCACACACACACACACCCTCCTGGACCCTGGCAGCACCTCTAAAGTGCCACATTCCCATCCCCATTCCCCTCCCCCCAACTGCACCTGCAACGGAAAGTATTAGAATAGTAACGCTCTCTAGAACACCTCTTTAAGATGCTGGATCGGCCTAGGCCCTGCTCTTCAATCCCTCACCCCGCAAACCGAGGTTAGATCTGTAAGGGCACTTTTCATATAAAGAGCTTCCCAAATCTTCTCTAACAGTTCCTGATGTCAAGCAGCATGGTGAAAGCAGAGGCCAGTGCTTTTTTCCTAGCTCTGCCCTAACCAGTTGTGCTACTTTCCTTGAAGCACTTCACCTCTCTGGGGCTTCTGCTCCCAGCACTGCACCTGAGGCCATTCTGTGGGGGGCACTAGATTCCTGATCATTTGAGGACTGACAACAGAGATACCAGTAATCAAAAGACCTTGATAGAGCATCTATGTCTTGCAAGAGAATTGAATCTGGGAATGGGCCATGCTCTGTGGAGCTTCTGCAGTGCCAGCCTCAGTGGGGCAAAGGGTCCTCCACATCCCTGTGCTCCCATTTGAGCACCACCACCTTGGCTGGGTGCCGGGAAGGTTGGTGGGTGAGGCTATTGCTGGATGTCATGGTTTGTGTACAAGGTACTTTCAGCATTCCACACTCCACATACATTACCAGCGCTCCAGAAAGCCGCATTGTGGTGAAGCCCAAATCCCCCAGTCAGGGTGCCTCTTAGGAGTGTTTTCAACTAGGAAGAAAGACCTTCGTAATTTTTCAATTAACAGGCAAGGCCCAAGAGAGCACATAGCCTCAAAGGTTTTGCTAATCCTCCCAGTGCACATGTGGCACACATCAGGCACAGCTGTCCGGCAGCTGGCAAGGACAGCCGCCTTGGTTCTTTGTCATTCAGATGTGTTTTGACTCTTTGCATCTATTTATTTCTTTGTGTAACAGACTTCATCACATGAAGCCTCTTGGGGTTACATTTGTAAGTGTTTAATTGTGCAAATCGCCACCTTGTGTGTCTCCCCCTTGGCTGTCTGCATGTTTTCCATTAGAGAATGCAAAGCAGACTTCTAGGTGCTTAAATCCTGTTCCTTCAGAAGTGTCAGACAAATAGAAGAAGGAACACATTGATAAGACACGTGCTGTTCCACCAACCATGCCCTTGGAATAGAACCTTTAAATCACTACAAAATATGAATTTTAAAGGGATGGACTTGAAAGCCATCCCGTTGGGATAGAAATCAATTTGGTGGCCTCATGTATGGGAAATCAGGTAGCCAGAAGAAATGTTATTGTTCATTTTCATGAAATTCCATTGTCTTTTGTTATTAACTTGAGGGTCTTTCTCAAATTAGTCTCCAGCCACACCCCTTCTTCATCATTGCTGAAAGAGCTCATTCATTTCCTTTTCAGAGGGTTCCTCATGCAGTTTCAGAGCGTGTGCGTACCCAAGCAAACGTGCTAAATGTGTTTTAGATCAAGCTTACACACTTCTCGACAACTGCACTCCTACTGTAGGCTCCCGTGCGTGTGTAATGCTCTTACGTTGGAAAGGAAGTTAGAGTGATGCTCTAGCCTCTGTCCAGGAGGTTTCTCTCATATGTCGTGGGAAATGTGGCTTCCTATGCAGCTAACATCATCAACTCAAGTATGCGATCAGAGCTAGGTGCTGTGGGGAAAGTGAATTGTTTGCTTGGGGACAGTATTTCGTGATATCCACAGAGTTCAGAACCATATAAGTCAAAGGTAGTATTACTTTGCTCTGTGTCCTATTAACCTATTCAAAGTTTAATAGTGACTCTGAATTTCAGAGTCACAAAAAATTGTCCCTAATCTTTGATACCAGGGTATTCCAAAAAACACTGGTTTACTCTTCCCAGAGTGAGCAGGGAATTTTACTCCCTGAGCCATTGTGACAATTGCTGTCACCAGCACCTGACCATATGACCCAAGCTGCCTTCCAAGCACTAAATGAAGCCAACTTTTCACACTGCCTGCCCCACACATACTGTTTCCCAGGTTCCCCCTTTCCCAGTCTCCTCCCTTGTTCTGCTCTCCCTTAGGGTATGAATCTGTGGCAGAGGTTACTGGGGAAACAGCTCAGCAGATGTTTAGAGACCAAGCAAAAGGCCTCTGCTGGAAACTTATCTGTTTTAAAACATTACTTCCTTTCTGGCTCTGCTAAATTGAATGCTCATTGTTGTTGCTGTTGTTTTTTTTTTTTTAATTCTAATGTTCAAATCACTTTGTGCTGTATGACTCTAGAAAGCCTTAATTTACTACCACCAAGAAATAAAGCAATATGTTGGTAATCAGGCTCTGATTTATTTTTAATACCATTATACCATTTTAACACCACTGCCAGAGTGGTGTTCAGATGGGGACACATAAAAGTATGCAGAAAACTTACTTTATGTTTAAAGAACAGAGGAAGCCAGGTTGCTGCTCCACTTGTCCCTTTGGAATTGGATTCATGGCTTTGTCATCTCCCTAGACCTAATGCCTTTGGCTTAAAATTGGCAGGTAAGTGAAGAAACACTAGCTTCATAGTACAGCTCTGGTCTTCAATTCCTTAACCCAAACTCTCAGTGCTAGGTTTTAGAATTCAAAATTTTGCATATTTTAGGATATATTTTTGCATATATGGTGTATTTTTCAACAGTTACAGCAGAGTCTGGGGTAGCTCCCTTCATCAGACATGTTAATATTTCTGTAGCAATAGATATGAATAGTCATTCTATATAAGAGTATTCCATACTACAAATAACCTTGCATTAATTCAGGTCAGGTTTGCAACCAAATTAATTTATGCAATAAATAATTTTAAAAGCCTACTTTACTGAACTTCTACATTTCAGAATTATGCGAAAATAATTAAGGGATTTCAATACCCTTTACTGTGGCACTGGTTACAATTCTTGGAGAGTGTTTCAAAATTATGTGGACCGTGAGTTGTTATTAACTTCAGAAACCCTTACATTAGAGCATTAAAACCTGGAAGGGGAATATGGCAAGCTGATCTAGTAGGAAAAAATGTCACTTGTCTGGGAAAAGAGAAATGCAGAATCTTTCCCTCCCCACCTACACCTTTAGATCTAAGAAACCAATGTGGCGGAAAGCAAGCAATGTTGAATAGCTGGAGCTCTTCATCCTTAGCAACTACAAAAGCTCTAATAGATGTCAGTGATAAATGGATTTGTCTTCAACCTTCTTTTCACCCTGTATTTCTTTGACAACTCTCACGTAAACCAGTAGCACTGCTAATTGCCTTGAGACATTAATTGCAGGTTGTTCAATGCAATTCTTGTCAAGATCTCAGAATAAGGCTAGCGGTAAGCTTTATTCACCTTTGAGGTTCATAACTTCTTCAGCTGGCATTTGTTCACAATGAGAAAAAAGATCTTCAGGAACTTGAATATCTAAGAGCATGCAAAATGAAAGTGAGAGGAAAAGTAACATAGTGTAAAATGGTCATAGGGAAGTTACCAAAAGTGGTACATTATTTAATAGCTGGCAGTCATGCTAAATTCAGAGAGAAATTAATTAGAAAAAATGCTAAATAGAAGATGGAGCACAAACAGAAAACTAGACCAATATCACAGTGGAAATGTTCACATAAAAACCTGGTGAAACAAAATTTGATTTTCCTCTTGGATGCTGTTAGTCTGTCAGTTTCTTCTTCTTTGACTTGTATCCCAGACATTATCCTTCTGCAGCGGGGAGTGAGGCAGAAAGGGACAGAGTGCCGGCCATCGTTTGTCTGTAGCAGATGCTAAGGCTGTCACTAAGACTCAAAAACATGGAGCCAGTTGCTCAAGAGCAACTTGGTCAAGTGTCATCGAGATGACAACCATGGGAGCAAAGCTGTTCACATGAGGTAAAAAATATTCTCACAGACACACACGCTGGGAATTGTGCATTCAAAAATTCACCTGGAAGCCAGACATTGCTCATTTTGTCTTACTACATCATTATCTGCTAAGGCCATCAGCTCCTTCTACTCTGTCAGGTCTGCAGATCACCTTGCATGTTAAACAATTCAAGGGGAAAGAACATCTGCATTTGAGATCTGTACAGGGCACAATCCTTGCAGCCTGTCGATAAAACAGATGTGGCATCTTCTACAGGCCTAGCCCAAGAAGAAGCCAATCTTATGGTGAATTCAGGAAAGCTGCCTGGAAGAGCTGGTTGTTGCTCAGGTATTTAGCAACACACATCATCCAGGTGTCTGAGGACCTTGAAGGACCATTTTTTAAAAAAAAATCCTTGATCTAAATATTTCTAACTGGTCATTTCTGTGTTTTGTAATATTTGTCCTTGTAGCTGCTCAACTATTGAATTCTACTCTGATGAGATTGCTCTGTCTAAATTCTACGCTGGTTCTGGTGATGATCATCATCTGATAAGAGACTAGAGATTGCAATCATCTTTCTTCATGAACAGATGATTCCCAGGAAATGGTAATTGCCCGTACACACACATCCTAAACCAATGTTTATTGGCCGCCTGTTATGTCAGGTATTATGGTAGGTTCAATACGTACAGCATCTTTACCCTAAAAGAACTCAGATCAAATAATAAAAATAGCAATAATAATAATAATAATAATAATATCTTGTAATAAGTCAGAATGAGGGAGTGACTATAAAAAAACATGCTAATATATTCATTAATCCAATAAGTGTGTATTAGGAGCCTAGTAATGTGCCAGGTCCTGTTGTCCCTGAGAGTCTAGCCGTAATGGAATTTACCAAAACAATAACATAAAGACAGAGGGACAAGGTGTAGGGTCACCTCTTAGGGTTAAAGACCCTGAACCTCGGCTGTTATACTCAGGAGGTGGGCATAGAGCCATCAAAAATCACGACACTCGTGAATATGCAGAGTAGAATGGCATTCATGGAGCCGACTTCGGGAGACAGAGTTTGATTTTCTGTCACTGAGACAAAATAGCCAGCACTTGCAACTTAAAGGAGAGGTTGACTTTGGCTCACAATGCCATTTCACGGTCACTTGGCTCCAAGGCAGGAACAGGATAGCAGAGGAAGTGGCAGCAGAAAAAGTGCCCAACCATGGCAGCCAGGAAGTGGAGAGAGGAGGGAGGAGCCAGGGACAAGAACACCCTTTAACTCTATTAGCTGTAGCTTAACGTTGCTATTGCTTTTGGTTAGTCCTGTGAAAAGATTCAAGTCATTTTGTAGATGCATGCGCGCGCACGCACACGCACAGAAACGCACATTTTAAAGGAGAAAGGCATTGTGGGAAAATGGTTCTCAAATACAGTTTCATTGACAAACTGTCTAGGATCCTCAGAGCAGCTTGCTTGTCCTCCCCAACAGCACATTCAACACAACCTGAACCCAGCCATGTGCCTACCAACCTGCAGTCATTTCCCCAGCAAGAGGATGAGTTCCTCCCTGGGCAATCTTGGATTTTTCAACCACCAGAAGTGCTCTCTGGTGTCACTCTAATTGCTATGCGCCTATGACGAGAATGGTCAGAATAATTGGTTTCTCTATTTACCATTTCCCTTTGCTGAAAACTAGACGATGTCTGTAATTTTCAAAATAGTGGGTGGTCAACATAAGAGTGATTAAATAGCCTTTAAAATTGCTATTTTAAAGAAACAGATTTTTACGTGTAAATTCACTGAGGATGAGTTCTTCGAAACCTCCAGTTCTATCAGCGTTGTAAATGTGAAGTTATCTGCCTGCACTAATCATGAACTAAACCATGAGAGCCATTAGAAATGCAAAAGTGATGGGAAGGCTTTGAAATCTCATTTCTCTGCAGACAGAATCAACAGTCATTGTGGCTTTCAGAGGCCCTAGTGTCTCCAGCTTCTGAGAAGGCTTATGAAGTCCACTTTCAGACAGGCAGGCAAAGATACAGGAGAGAGGATTTCTAATTACAAAGATTAACCAATAATTGGGACTTCCTTTACTCCAGTCTCCTTCCAACCACTAATGATCAGAGCCACCCTCTATCAGGAAAATTTAAAAACAACCCAGGTTTCTCATCATAACTCTGTCCTTCCTGAGTATTTACATTTGGAATGTAAACAAACTTATCATGACCATTTTCACTTATGAGAAAGCAGATAAAGTTATGCAACTGTCACCACTGATAAATAGCCTTTTCTTCCTTTTATCTGAAGGCCTTTTAAAATTTTACTAATTCATTATTTATTTATTTTCAGAGAGGGAGAGAAAAGTAGATGTAACTCTCTTTGTGTACTTTTCCATTTTTCATTTTTCAAGAATAACTACACCAGTGCACCAGATTTCACCTGAATAGCTCTGCTTTTTGCAGTCACACTCTAAGAATTGAGAAATGTTGGTTTCTTGTACTCCACTGCCACTTAGTAAAGTGCTTGAAGAGATTATTCTGCCCATCAAAGTTTTGTCTTGGTAGAACCAGAGAGTTTGAACCAGTAGGATCTGAACCATTTCTCTGATTCTCTTTGCAAACACACAGGCAAGTGATTTAAGACGTAGTTGATCTGTGTGAATGGCATGCAGGCAGCGAGATCTTTCCATTAGCTAGTTGGCACTGTGGGGCTGTAGTTGGCGTTCCTCTATGTTTATAATTTTAAAACACCCAAAGAATAATGACCATGGATGTGCTGGAAAGCTGGAGATCAAGAGGCTGTGGATTTAAAGAAAGAGGCAGAGAAAGAGGGACCTTCAAATAATGATCTCTCACTCACATAATGAAAAACAGAGTCCTCTCCCGGAGTTCCAAGCTGGCACTGTTACACTGGCTCCATCGCCTTGGGGCTCCTGTGTGTAGTAATGTTTCTTTTTAAAGTACTGCACACAGAAAAGCAATAGGAAATATAAACACTGCTATGGGAGAGCGTGAGTCTCTTTTCTTTTTAAAACAAGTACTTAATCCCAAGCACAAGAGGTAAGATGATCTTAAAGCTGTTCATGTTATGTAAGTACTCCTTTTATAAACAGCAGAGCTGTATATTCTCAGGTGCTGAGCAGTTCTGTTTCTTCAAGTTCACTCACCTCAAGCTCATTGCCCTTGTGACATGAAGCCTCCAGTGACTAATTCTTCACACCCACTTACCTCTAGTGAAAGAGGAAAATGGCCTTTCTGATCAGCTACTATGAATGATGCAAAAGTATCAGCAGCTCCATAACAAAATTCCCCCCCAGGGCTTGGGAACCTAATACTAAGCCTTGGAGAGAGCTGGGCTCCAAGGAAAGTGTTGGGAAATTTGGCTGGGAGGCTTCTTTGGCTGAAACAGAAGCACTTGGTAATTCTTCAGGTGATCACAAAAGCAACTTTTGCAATTTTCAAA